CGATGGGAGAATACCACGACCGATGGGAGAATACCATGGCCGATGGGAGAATACCACAGCCGATGGGAGAACATCACGACCGATGGGAGAATACCATGGCCGATGGGAGAATGCCATGGCCGATGGGAGAATACCACAGCCGATGGGAGAATAGCACGACCGATGGGAGAATACCACGGCCGATGGGAGAACATCACGACCGATGGGAGAATACCATGGCCGATGGGAGAATACCACAGCCGATGGGAGAATACCACGGCCGATGGGAGAATACGAAGAACTGAGGAGAGAAGACGAAGAGGAAGGCCAGAATGAAAATATAATCCCAAGAAGGTCTTCAAGAGTTGCGGCTTGGCGGAGGGAGTGTTGCAGATATTCTAACTGGGGGAATTGGAAGAATTAAACTGACCGGGATCTTGACCACTCTAGGCCTCCGATGAGGGTATGAAAACAACTTTAAAATGGGGGGCATTGTTAGGATTTTATAAGTTGTTTTATCGTAGATTTATATATTTGTATTTTGACCAGATGAGACCGGACGGTTTTACATGTATATAATTGGTTTTAAATGATGTAAATTAGTTAGTCATGAGAGGAAATTAAAAGTGTTGATTTTATTAGAGGTGTTAGTGTTTACTCTGCTCGATTGTAGACTGGGAAAGAATTGGTTTCCTAACAGAAAAAAACAGTTCAACTTTGCACTTACAAATGTGCCGAAGCCTCATTTGGTTACTTGAACTCGCCGCAGGGGTTAGACTTTTCAAAGAAACGGACACCATTGGAGAAATATTTTGTTTTTAATAAGAAAAAGGTACCCAATGCGGGATCGAACCCGGGTCGTAGCGGTGGAAAATCAACAGTTTAGACCATCCTTCCACCGACCCCCCACCTTTTTTATTTCACAGTTTAAGAATATGAGGTTCGTTGCCTCCATTCTTTACAAGTGTTTGGTTATCTTGAATTCCGATCTATAAATTTAGATCATTATTGACCCTTTTTATTATATATTTCAAATTTTTAATTTTGATGGTTTTCACTACAAAAAAAAATGTTTACCTTTATATTTATATTTGGGGCCTTTTCATATCATTAGGATTATATAACAGAGGTATCTTATGAAAGGGGGAAAAAACTCAGTTTTCGCCTCTCGCTGACACTCCTGAATCGATTTGGCGTATACATGGTATAATCTTTATTTTATATCTGAAGTACTGTCCAGCGATTCCCCGCTCCGGGTCAAACGGTGTATTGCCGGACTGAGAATCCTATCGGTGCTCTTTGCTGATGATCGCCCCAGAATATTTAAAACAGACGGATGGACATGCGAGATTTGCGGGACAAGAATGGAGCCGGGGCTACATCACCATTTACTCTCATGTATGGGGCTGAAAGACGAACGAGAAGTGCTCCTCGGGGAAATAGGCCTCGAGGGACTCTCTTTGGAGCTCCTGTTGAATGAGGTGGTGAGAAACAGAGCTGGAGCTTTTGCGTTGTTCAAATTTTGGAAGACGGCTGAAGAGAAGAGGAGGCTATATACATAATCTAATTGATGTAAATAATTATATGCAAATAATCTATGTCAGGATTAGAATGACGTAGACCAGTAAAAGGCTTGTTGCTGCTGTTGTATATAGTCACAGTGTAGAAAATACTATACCTACTACATATATCTCTGCATTCTTAGTTCTCTTCTCTTACTCTGTAAACTGGCGAATCCTATATAGGACGAGAGGTCCTCAATAAAGGCTTTTGTTGTTGTTGTATTTTATATCTGAAGTATTTCCAATAGCTGAATAAATAGTTATTTAAAGTTATCGGGAAGCTTATTTAATTACTCTTTTCATCGCGACAATATAATATAATAAATATTTCCGTTAGCTTGAAAACATGAAAAATAATTTTAAAAATGAATATTATATATATACAAGATACTATGTACAATGTACATGGCGTCACCGCTACAGAGTTTGGTGGAGAATCACCAGCGAATCTCCAGCGACACCACGTATTTCACGATCTACGTAGCAGAATACGTTGATAGCGTGTTTCGCTGTTGAGGAGATGGTGATGGCGTGGTCCTCGATACCAACTTGCAAGCATAATAAAAACAAAACATTATTTTAAGAATTTATCATCTATATGTTAATATCAATATTCAATTTATAATACAATATAATGCAGCTTATGATTGTAGAACGACGTTTGACAATTTTTACCGCAAATGTTTCTTTTGAACGAAAAATCGTAATTTTATTTTAAAGAAGAAATAACGACTGTTTCTATCCTTAGAGATGAAGTATGAAAGGATGAATTGTGAAGTGTAATGATTAACGGAAAAATGAAATAAAATTCCTATCCCTGGACACTTTTATTTTTCCGTTCATCATTACTCTTCACAATTCATCCTTTCATACTTCATCCCTAAGGATAGAAATAATCGTTATTTCTCCTTGAAATAAAGTTCGAAGATTCGTTCAAAAGAAACACATGCGGGATAATTTTCAAATGTCGTTTTACAATAATAAGCTGCATTATATTATATTATGAATTTATTATCATGGTGTTCCTTAAACAACGTGGATCGGTCCAATCATGCTGTTGTCCCGTGGGACGTTGTCCAATTATCCGAACATTCTCAATGCACTACTGTCCAGAAGGATTCCACGATATGAGATTTCCCCAGAGGCACTCAATAATCCGTGCTAAATATTCACTACATTGCTACTTGGCTTGTAACACCCATTGTGACTTACCTCTATAATTATCTAGGGTGCCAACAATTTACTCTTTTTGCTGGAGAAATATTTCCGCTGAACAAAATCTTTGTTTTTTATTTCGTTAGAAATAAAGTTTTCTTGTCGATACCTTGAGGGGAAATTTCATCTTGTCACTAGTTTTGTCTAGACCAGCAGGTCGGTAAACTGCGGCCCGCGAGCCACATATGGTTCTCTGGATGTGAAACTGCGGCTCTTTATATAGTTCCAAACGCAAATATTTATTATGTGAGTACTGTTTATTGTTGGCAAGAAAAAATGTTGTGGCTCTTCAAAAAACTTTGAAATTTTGTAAATTGTGATTTTTTTACTCCTCCGATTCTAAAGGTTGCCGACCCTGACAATAACAATGGAAAAGGATTAGAAAGATTTGCCTAGTTTCTATATCTATCTATATATATATAAATCAATGTTTGTATGTTTGTTTGTTTTTATGTCCGGTATACAAATTCGCAGTAGTTCACTAATTCAAACCAAATTTCCATACATAGGTAAAATAATACGGGGAAGAGAGGAAGATAGGCTATTTTATAAAATATATAAATCAATTATTAAAACTAAATATTCAAATTATTCTACTTAGCTCACGAACAGCGCCCTCTATCAAAGATTAGATTAAATTATGCTGATTCAAACAAATAGATAATGCTAATAACAAACAATTATAAAAAAAATCTTATCTAAATATATATCACTCGGGTAGATATGCACACGGGTCAATCCCGGGGCGAAGCCCGGGTCACCCGTCTAGTATTTTATAAATTAACCATTTAATTACTCATATACTTTTTTAGCACACAATCATCAACGTTGTTCCTTCCAAGCTCTAACATTTATTTTATTATTATAGAAATAATAGATTTAATTATCAAAAATGACAAATTGTATTTGTTTAAGGAATAAGGACTTAGTATCAAAGTGTATACAAGTGTAATCTCAATAAGAATATTATTTTAAGAATTCAGTATTGATTGAAATATTAGTAACTGTGAGAAAAATATGAATATATATTTTATTAATATATTCCTTTTAATGATGATTTTTTTATATTCATTTGAGTATCAGTTTCTTCTCTTTAAAGGTAATTTCTACAAATATACACTCATGGAGATAAACGTAAGCTTTGCGGACACCTGGTATATACAATTGTCGATAAAACTACAGCACATTGTACACGCTATTGTTTATTCAATGCTAGACAAGTTTTTCGTCAGTGGTCGAATTTTCTTAAGTGAAGGTTTGACTGATTCTATAATGATAACGTTTTAACTATTATTATTATTAATATTATTATAAGTTGTGTATAGTATGAGTGGTATTAAAGAGAAAATAAGAAAATCAATTATGCAATCATACAAATTTATTAAAGATTAATAACTTTGTTAATCATACAACTTACTTACCATGAATTCTCGCTTTGGCTCTCATTTTGTACTTGAGTAATAATCCAAATCATTGTTTAAACTATTTTGAAAGGAAGAGGAGCCCAATTTAATACATATATATCATATTACTACAATAAAGGCATATTTCGAATCAATAAATTTATTAAAATTCAATATTTCGACGAGGCTGTTCGCCTATCTTCTTCTAGGAAAAATTCAAACTCTTTGTAAGCTTATAAAATTATATGCACCGAGCTTTGATTTTTCGAATTATACAATTATATTATATATTTATAAATGTATGTAATTCTACTATCCTCAAAGCTTATGTCCATAGTTCTTCTAAAATACCCATTTCCAAGGGTCTACCAACAGTATCACTAAAAAAGGAAGTTCCAAAAATGCAATATAACAGCGGTAAGGTAGATTAAACTGGCGAAACCGTTGAGTGGGTTCACCACTGATAAACCAGGCCCTCCCTTTAATTTTTCCATTGCAGTAAGGGCAGTAGAAATTGTTTAATTTCAAAAAGAATCTTACGCCTTTAAAATAGTTTCAAATTTTGATAACAGATGGCGCGCTAGAGCATTATATTAACTATATTAAGAAGGTATTTTGAAATAAATGTGACGTGAATATCTTAATCCCACAGACAAAATAATTCACTGTACATTTCGAATAAGTTAATGAAATATCTAAAATTCTTACGAAATAGGTTTCTTTTTCACAAAATCATTAATATATACAGTTATCAGCGTCATAATCGAGCAACAATTCTTAATTCTGTCACCGTTTGCTTTTGTGAATGGAATAAATACCCAAATATGGCCATTTCTCATAACCATCGGTGGCGCAATGGTAGAATGCTCTCCTGCCACGCGGGTGGTCAGGGTTCGATTCCCGGTTGATGCATTTTTTTTTTTTACAATTTTTAAAACTCATTTATATATTACCTGGTTCAAATTCACATAAATAGGTACCGCTCAGCAAGAGCAACCTAGTTCATGATAATTGAACAATGAATAATATGTGAAGTTTATTCACATATTAAACAAATTTTAACGCGGGATACAATCCCGGTTCATGACTGTCGGGAACCGAGGGGGTTACCCACTCGTCCACCGACTTTTTGTATATTTATATATTATACAAGAGTGACATCCACAGCGCCAATTTATAATTGTAACGAATAGTATTTGAATAAAAGCATTTAATCGGGTAAACCCCTAGCGTTGCCCGGGTCATTCGGCTAGTTTTTGCATAAGATATTTAGATATTTTATAAAAGAAAAATGAAATAAAATTCCTATCCCTGGACACTTTTATTTTTCCGTTGATCATTACTCTTCACAATTCATCCTTTCATACTTCATCCCTAAGGTTAGAAATAATGGTTATTTCTCCTTTAAATAAAGTTCGATGATTCGTTCAAAAGAAACACATGCGGGATAATTTTCAAATGTCGTTTTACAATCATAAGCCTCATTATATTGTATTACAAATGTATTATCATGGTGTTCCTTAAACAACGTGGATCGATCCAATCATGCTGTTGTCCCGTGGGGCGTTGTCCAATTATCCGAACATTCTCAATGCACTACTGTCCAGAAGGATTCCACGATATGAGATTTCCCCAGAGGCACTCAATAATCCGTGCTAAATATTCACTACATTGCTACTTGGCTTGTAACACCCATTGTGACTTACCTATATAATTATCTAGGGTTGCAACAAATTACTCTTTTTGCCGGTGAAATATTTCCGTCGAACAAAATCTTTGTTTTTCATTTCGTTGGAAATAAAGTTTTCACGTCGATACCTTGAGGGGAAATTCCATCTTGTCACTAGTTTTGTCTAGACCAGCAGGTCGGTAAACTGCGGCCCGCGAGCCACATATGGTTCTCTGGATGTGAAACTGCGGCTCTTTATATAGTTCCAAACGCAAATATTTATTATGTGAGTACTGTTTATTGTTGGCAAGAAAAAATGTTGTGGCTCTTCAAAAAACTTTGAAATTTTGTAAATTGTGATTTTTTTACTCCTCCGATTCTAAAGGTTGCCGACCCTGACAATAACAATGGAAAAGGATTAGAAAGATTTGCCTAGTTTCTATATCTATCTATATATATATAAATCAATGTTTGTATGTTTGTTTGTTTTTATGTCCGGTATACAAATTCGCAGTAGTTCACTAATTCAAACCAAATTTCCATACATAGGTAAAATAATACGGGGAAGAGAGGAAGATAGGCTATTTTATAAAATATATAAATCAATTATTAAAACTATATATTCAAATTATTCTACTTAGCTCACGAACAGCGCCCTCTATCAAAGATTAGATTAAATTATGCTGATTCAAACAAATAGATAATGCTAATAACAAACAATTATAAAAAAAAATCTTATCTAAATATATATCACTCGGGTAGATATGCACACGGGTCAATCCCGGGGCGAAGCCCGGGTCACCTGTCTAGTATTTTTTATAAATTAACCATTAAATTACTCATATCCCTTTTTAGCACACAATCATCAACGTTGTTCCTTCCAAGCTAACATTTATTTTATTATTATAGAAATAATAGAATTGATTATCAAAAATGATGAATTGTATTTCTTTAAGGAATAAGGAATTAGTATCAAAGTGTATACAAGTGTAATCTTAATTTGAATAATATTTTGAGAATTCAGTATTGATTGAAATATTAGTAACTGTGAGAAAAAGATGAATATATATTTTATTAATATATTCCTTCCAATGATTTTTTAATATTCATTTAAATATCAGTTTCTTCTCTTTAAAGGTAATTTCTACGAATATACACTCATGGAGATAAACGTAAGGTTTGCGGACACCTGGTATAGACAATTGTCGATCAAACTACAGAACATTGTACACGCTATTGCTTATTCAATGCTAGACAAGTTTTTCGTCAGTGGTCGAATTTTCCCAAGTGAAGGTTTGACTGATTCTATAATGATAACGTTTTAACTATTATTATTATTAATATTATAACAAACAATACAGGAAGGAAATAAACATAAGAAAAAAGAACGTTGCATATATTTAATCCCAGGTGCTAAAAAAGACGATGGAAATTATCTCAACAGAAAAGAAGAATGAATCTCACGATAAGTTACAGAGTAATAAAGAAATGGAAGCCATGGATAGATTGTTGGAACGATGTAGGGAGCTGGCATGTGATGACGAGGAAGGTGGAACACCGGACATGGAGCACAGGGATACGACGACCATAGAAGAGATCCAGGAGAACGACCTAGAGCAGATGACAGGAGACCTGACAGACAAGAATGGATCAAGGCCAGGGGACCATGTTATCTAGGAGCCATTAGGAGAGGCCATAGAAAGACTCCTGGAGAGCTGCAGGACATCAGGGGACCATAACGGCAAGGGCCACAGCACTGACCAGGAGTCAAGATAGCAAATGTAAATATCTTTGTTTACTTTTACTGTTGTCATTTATTGAAGTTGTAAATAAAAATATGTAAATAGACTGACCATTCGCTACACTTTTTAGAGAAAAACTTGTAACCTTTTTGAAAATAAATTATTATTAATATTATCATAAGTTGTGTAGTATTAGTAGAAGTGGTATTAAAGAGAAAATAAGAAAATAAATTATACAATCATACAACTTTATTAATAATTAAAAACTTTGTTAATCATACAACTTGATTACCATGAAATCTCGCTTTGGCTCTCTTTTTGTACTTGAGTATTAAACCAAATTCATTGTTTAAATTATTTTGAAAGGAAGAGAAGCGCTTTTTAATACATATATATCATATTATTAAAATAAAGGCATATTTTGGATCAATACATTTATCAAAATTCAATATTTCGACGAGGCTGTTCGCCTATCTTCTTCTAGGAAAAATTCAAACTATTTGTAAGCTTATAAAATTATATGCACCGAGCTTTGAATTTTCGAATTATATATAAACATTAACGATATTAAAAAGTTATTTTGAAATAAATGTGACGTGAATATCTTAATCCCACAGACAAAATAATTCACTGTACATTTGGAATAGGTTAATTAAATACCTAAAAATCTTACGAGATGGGTTGATTTTTTACTAAAAACATTATTGCTTAAGATATTTAGTTATTTTATAAAGCTATATCGCAATTTTCTTTATTCAGAAAAGTAATGTACAGACACCATAAAGGGACACAACTTGATACCCTAATATGATTGAGTGGAGATAAGGAAGAAGAAGAAGGAGAAAAGTAATGTAAAATAATAATATTACAAATAAAATTACTTTATATGAAAAAGGTTTATGGAAACGGCATTTTAAAAAAATTGTATGAAATCTTTGTATAGCTTTGTAAATTAACTATTTTAATATGGCTCCATCAATTCTCTCTCTCTAATTTAGAGGAATGAGTCACTTTAGGACAGCGAGTCCCTGAAACATCGAGAATTAAATGAAAAATTAGTAAATGTAGTTATATCCTTTCCAAGACAAACTTCCCCCACAAACAAATAATCCTCAAAGCTATTTTAATATATAATTTAACGCATATCATGAATAAATATGGATTTCGATTAGCGAAAATTCATCAAAGACCTCATATGAATAAATATATGGTAAGGAGTTTAAAAGGCCATGTTAATATATTCCCAAGTCGTTGGTGTATGGAAGTCTATAATTGAATGTTCTTTTAACGGACGTTCTTTAGAAGCGACAAAGAGTTCATAACGGTAGGTAATGTATGCTAAGTACTCCATTACATCACCGCTGCCAATATCTCTCCACACAATCAATACTGGCGTCCAATACATTACAGAAACCTCACTCTTAATTCAAATAACTGCCGTCAACGTTTTCTATATTTCCTTCTTCTCTCAAACTTTTAATAACAGTTATTTCATTAAGAAAAAGGCATCTCCTTATCGTGCAAACTGAAATTTGCTGATGGCTTGCGCCATCTATCGGAATAAATATAAACTATTCGCGTTGATTTTTAATTATTCCAGAATTGGCCAAATACTCATTATTGATTAATCAAGAAAAGCTAACTACGATTATCAATCATTCATGATTAATCAAGAATAGGTATTTGGCCAATTCTGTGATAATTAAAAATCAACGAGAATAGTTGATATTTATTCCGATAGATGGCGCAAGCCATCAGCAACTTTCAGTTGTATGATAAGAATATGCCTTTTTCTTAATTTATGCACCTTATCACAGTACAATATCACATTTGTTCTATTTTTTCAAAGTTATGTTTATTGTTTCTTATCTCCTTGTGTAAATTTTACATGAATTTCATGAGTTCATCCATGGAATTGGGGTGTAGGGGTGTAGCTTTCGTTGATCATGTTACCAAGACACCCTTTGGTGAAAGTCTGACTTTGCCTGTAATTTAAGGTTGTTCCTAACATGAAAGCAGAAGCGTTTGCTGTTATGCAGATACACATATTTGCATATACCCTTGAATATCTCTCCATTTTTATATACATATATATATTTTTAGTTGAGTACCCTCTAAACCACGATGTATGGTAAAACTACTAATACTTTATGAATCTTTCAAATTATTATTAAATTACAGTACTAGAAATTAAATAACTTGGTTTCTGCAGGTATCTAGCTTTGTAATTAAATTTCTTTACAACAACACAAACTTTATTAAGGCATTCCGCCTTTTAATGATTCGCTGTACAAATTAAAAAGAGAAAATTAAACCAAATATTTACATAATTAAGGGTATGAGAAGGCAGTTGTTTTATATATACATGTAGTAACTTTTATTTTGTGAGGCTATTTTTCACTAGACAGCTCATGATAGTTTTATAGTTCTATAGCTGTGTTTTTCTTTTCTGACAATTGACAATTGAAACAAATTTTATTGACTTCTTGTCAATAATTTAC